AAAGAATCAAGCAACACCAAGGGCTGTGTTTGATATGGGGAATCCAGAAAAATGTTTCGGAAATTTGGTCCACTTGGTATACTGCTATTAGGTGTCATTTTCATTTCTACAATCAGATTACTTCCCTTCAAATACAGGGCTTCCTGCATTCTTCAACTTTTCTGTATTTAAATGCCAAGGTAGAGCATTCTCAACAAATGAAAATAACATATGAAAGGCATCTCACAGAGGACAATCAGTGACTATTTCTCTTACTCTCTACAAGGAAATATTTACTGTATCCTGAGACTTCATCTCTCCATTGTCACTGTATAACCCAAACTCTACTCACCCACAGAAATATCCTTTGAGGCAGCATCTTCTGACAACGGATTCTGCCCACAAAGAGGGAATTATTTCTTTTCCTTTAAAGCTTACTTACCTCCCATACCACTAGAAATAATTATAATTGAAAAAAAAAAAAACCCTTTGACAGAATAACCCTATTTGATGACAGACGGGGAGACAATTAGGTATTTCAATTAGGATTTTAAAATGTGGGAATTAAATTAATCACCTTACTCTCAATTTTTAAACTTTCAGAAAGCCTTATTTTAGAGAAACTCAGTATTTCCCAGAATATTGGTGCAAGGGTGAGGCAGGAGGGGGGAGGGTGTTTTTGCCTTCTTAGTAAAATGAAGTGCTTTCCTATCAGATTAATTAAGCTTTTCTTCCACTGTCTTCATTGCATGTGACTTTCAATATCTGCTTGCACAAAGAACCACTTGATACTGAAAAAAAACCCCAATTTTTTAAAACTTAAATATTTATTTTCTCCTAGTCTAAACAAAACACTCTAAATCCATGTATGTTTGAAGAAAGCTGTTTCCAGCTGTAACCTCCAATTTTACTTCATACAAAAGTATGTGTCCTTTTTCTATGAAAAGATATACATTTTCCTAACATGTTATAGTGATGATCTGTTGCGCCTGAAGTTTTCAGATGCTCCAGCTTTGAAACAACTGCAAGCAAGAGGGAAGATTCCAATGTATCAAAATACAAATAACCTACATGTGCTAATTTAAGCAAGCATTTGCTAAGAGAAATCTTTCAGCATCTCACAGAAAATTACAACATTGAAGGATAATGTTCAGAGCCTTACATTCACCTAGCCATCAAGGTAAAGAGGCTGTGAAACAAATTTCAGTCTAGCAGAAGAAGAAATATTTCAATAAAATGGTGCAAACATCAGAGGCTCCTGTGTAAGCAGAATGAAGTAAAAATCACTATGGTAACCCACTAACTTTTAGTTCTCAAACTAATGATTGTCTGAGGAAATAAAGAAACAAAGAAATGACACTCTTATACAGTGTTTAAGTAAAGATGAAAACAAAATAAGCATTCTTATTTACCTGAATATACCTGACTCACATCACCAGCTATTATTCCTTACATAAATGGGTCTTTCTTACTCAGTGTAAAAAATATTATAAAATACTATTAAAGCAAGAAACATCAGTTCCGTAAAAGGTAATGAATAACTCATTAAGTGAACTAATCACTTCCCTGTATTTTTCTGGCATAGGGAGACAAAGGAACATTACATTTTGTTTTGAAATAGTGTTTTGGGAAGCTTTAGCTCTTATATTTATTTGGGAACTGAAGCATTTCTCTTAGGAGGATAAGCTGAAGGAGTTGGGCCTGTTCAGCCTCAAGAAGAGATGACACAGAGGGGTCCTCATCCATGTATGTAAGTATCTGAAATAGAGCTGGTGAGAGGATGAGCCAGGCTCTTCTCAGTGGTGCTGACCATCAGGACTAGAGGCAACAAGCAGAAACTGATGCACAGGAGATTCTACCCAAACACAAGGAAGAATTTCTTTACTGTGCAGTGACTGTGCACTGGAACAAATTGCCCAGAGAGGTTGCAGTCTACCTTACTGGAGATATTCAAAAACTTTCTGAACACAATTCTTTGCCATGTCCTCTAGGATGACCCTGCTTCTACAAAGAGTTTGGACCAGACGACCCACTGTGCTCCCCTCCATTCTTACCCATTCCATGATGCTGTGAAACAGCTTTGCTAACAGTATACCTTAGCCAGTACGATGTAGAGACACACTGTTTTTCTAGCTATCACTCATAGCTTAGTACGGACACCAGAATGCTAGGGATCTTTCTGCATTCAGGTCTTCATTTTTAGAGAAATTTCTTTGAGAGTTTGTTACTTTTGTTCTTTTGGAAGTTGTCAATATGCAATTTTCCATTAACTCATTCAATAAAATTACTTTTTGTAAATAATCCCTGGCCTATAGATTGCTTGTTCCCATTTGACTTAAACTTGTGCTAGTTACAAAGACCTGATGACAAATCACATGGGGTTTTTTGTTTATTTGTTGTTGCTTTGTTGGCTTTGTTGTTCTGGCTGTTGGTTCTAATTCTGTGACTGGCCATGACAATATTACTGGTGCAAATAGGAATAGTACTAAAAGACAAAAAATATTTGGCTTAGAATGAACATTTCTGGAAATATCCTAATGAATCAAGTCATTGACTAAAATGTTCATTGAAAGCATACATAAGGAGAATATTTTCTGATTTTTCTAAGATGACAGACAACTTTTAACTTCAGACAGTATTGTAGATGTATATTTGACATTGGCACTGGCTTGCCAAGCATGTTCCTTGTGTACTTCATCAGGTTTCCTGGGTGTACACCAGAATGGTGTGCCTAAGCAACTCATGGGGGTTGAAGCAAGGTACTTTATTGACATTTCATAACCCTATCGGTCTTACAAGATGACTATAATATCTGATTCACATAACATAATTATTCTCCTGGAATGAACATAAATTATATGCAGATGTAGTTCCACTGAAAGACCAGGAGCCAAATACCACCAGCAACACAACAGCAAGTAAATATGATATTGGTAGAAATTATATTTTTCATGTTATGTATTTTACAAAATATGAAAATGAATTAACCTGGGTTAATTCTCTGTAAATGCTACTTCATAATGCAGCCTTTAGCTACTCAGACAGCTGAAACTTGTGGTTTACTTATGAAAAGAGTATTGTTAAAAATGTAAGATAATTAGTTCAAGTGGAATAATACTTCACTCTTCCAATCACTATAAAGGTTAATACTTAGGCTTTCCATTTCAAGCTGTTCTCTCTCTATCAGAGCCACATCTCAGATTAATAACTACCTACAGGAGGTAAGATTAACTTAGGGTTTATCCCATGCCTTTCATGAGTATGCCTGTATCTAACAACTCCCATTTGCCAAGTGGAATAGAATACATTACATACAGATACATTCTTCCCTTCAAGGTCATCTTTGTCTTCAAAGAAACCACATACCAGATGTAGGCAATTTACTAAGGATAGAGGACATCAGACCTGGTTAAAAATTGTTAATTGCACACTTAAGATCAGAATTACGTTGAACTCAATTCAGCAGGCTTTAAGCCAATGTTTCAGTCATGGACATATACCAGTGTGCTGAATAAAGTTCTTTGCTGTTTAGCTAAGCCAGTGAAGAACACAGAGACTCACTGGTTTAACCAAGAAGACAGCAGACTGCTGGAATCAATCTATCTCATCGCCTGTGAGAGAACTGGATAACCAAATAAATGGAACAATGTGAATTAAATTAATTACTGGAATAATTACTTTTGCATTATATTTTCTGTCCAGACATGTTCTCCCAAAGAAACAGTATAAAATCTCTTTGCAAGTGATAAATTGCTAACTCATGTTCTGTTTGCCCCTCAAAAAGCACCCAGTTAGAATCAGTTTAAAAATACAGCACATGTATATGCACTATTTCTTTTAATATCACTTTATCTGCTCCTGCTAGATTTTATAAGAACAAATACCCATGCAAATGATACAGCACTAATGATACAAGCATAACTTCAAATACAAAATACTTGCAATTTTTCCTAGAACTGAAAATTATTTCCCATCTGATAACTCTTGATAATCTGAGACTCTCTTAGATTCAAGGTTATATCTTTCTAAAGTGTATCTACAGGATATTTTCACTGAAAGCTGATTTTCAAAATTTTTGCAACTGGCACTGGAAATTTTCTGAGAACAGAAACAAACTATATACATATCTATATCCAGGACTCAAAAACAACTGTATTAACAATTTTGCATGAGAACATTGCTTTGTGTTTAGGGGAATAGAAGAAAGTAATTTTGTATTTATTTATATGAAAATAAATAATTAAAAAGTGGAACAGAAAAAAATAACAGAGGGATAAATATTGAGGCTAAAATTTCATTTGCAGACCAAGTGTTGGAAAAATGAATGCAGTTGGAATGTGTTACACATGGCTGTCCCTCTCATCATTTTAAGTGACTGAAAAGGCTGCATTTTCACAGCTACAGGTGTTACATTTGCCTTGATCATTCACCTACAGATTCTCATTCTCAAGTCCACCACATCTTTTCCACACCCTCAATTAGAACAAATGACTGGTCCATGATTCATGTGCCTGGACTTAGAGTAAAATAGTAGAGATCTCTGAAAGAAGAAGAAATAGGCATAAACAGGGGCAGAGGGTCATCTCTGAAGGCATTAAATTAAATTCTGGCTAAAATCATTATCATTTGACATCCTGGCCTATACACAGGGACTAAAAATGCATCTAAAAGAAAAGTATCTTATGACTTCACTCAGTCTGTGATTTTTCCAAGTATTTTCCCCTTTGTTCACAAGTGACATGGGAACATATTTCAATCACATAAAGTTGTCTGAAAGTACTAAGTGCCTACCTGATAAACTCTTTTACTTCTTGGCTTACCTAGTAGAATGTTCTTATTAGAGTGAACCTTGTGTGCATTTATACAGGACCATGTAAGAAGACCTTTTAAAATTTGCAAATAGGTTCTCTCCACATTTTTCAATTGTACCAAAACACTCTGTCTATTGAAGGCAGATTAGCCAATTAACCAAAGGGGTTTTTTTTCTGCTGCGTTACATATGGAACACAATCTGATCTTACCTCTCCATTTTCCAGAGGGTGGATTTTGGAATAATAAGAAGTGCATATGACTTCATCATCTTTTATGTAGGACGGGGTTCCAGGCCGGGGATGAATGTTGTAGCGTGTCAGGCACTCGCTGTCTGTGATGGCATAGTACTGCCACGGCTGATAGTCCACACCGTCCAGCGAGCGCTCCAGTATCCAGTTCCCAGGACGAGGGGAGTTAGCTGCTTTCACAATAACATACGCGATCTGGAAAACCTGAAAAATACAAGAATTGTTAAAATACAACTAAATACACAATGAAAAACTCATTCCAATTTCTTCACAGCTGCCAAAACAAGTACAGTAAATACGCTAATGCTTGACTGGTCTTCTTTCCCCTAGAAATGCAATACGGCCTTGGATTACATGGAAACTTAAAACTACAGAAACAAATTCTCCACTGACATTTGTGGGAAAAAAAATTAAATGCATTAGGCCAATAGAGACTTTGAAAATAGAATTACAAAGCACTCTACAAAGTTTCACATAGCTTAGTAGGTAATTGCTAAACTGCCATTTCAGCCAAATGTTTGCAAAGTTTGTTTTCAAGTATTTTCAATTTGTAAGAATGGCATTGTTTCTTTATTTGTATTTATAGACATACACTTTCCACAATGTTTAAGAGTTGCCGAACTATTACAACTCTATCTCTGTTAAAGAAAAACACATTTTTAAGCTATTGAAAGATAATCACATCATGCTGAAATCATTCTATAAAATAATCTTGTTTCAATCATTCTATAAAACATTCACCCAACTCAGCACTGTGACCATGAATAAGCTTTACAGGACAGAGACACATCAAATATCACTATAAACAGAATGCAAGCAGATAATCAATACTCATTATAGTCTATTTTACCTGCCTATTCAATTGATTTATCAAGGTTTATTTCTGTGTACACGTTGCTGGAATGCAAACCATAAATACATTTGCAATTGCAGAATGACACACATTAGTGATGCAGGTCTGGTTTGGTTTGGTTTTTAACCTACTAACAGCCATATGCTACAGAGATAGAACTGAAGCCAAAGAAAAGAAGCAGCTATTTCTATTAGAAAAGCAGAACTCATAAAAAGCTACTATTTTTAAGACGCAGTGCTGTGAGTCTGCACATGATGATGCCAGAGGGTATCATGGCAGTGTTGATTTAATACTTAAACCTTTTTGTATTGGACAGTCACTGTAAAGAAGCTGCAAGATTCAGACTTAGTCCACACAAAATCTCTTATGAATGCTTAGATGATCAGTAAAGTTACCGAAAGAATATCCAACAGTAAACAATGAAAGAAACAGTAAGATTTGAATTGGTGTTTACTATCCACCAGTATTACTGTAAAATACAAAATGTGTTAAGTGGCAGAGTATTCCCGAACACTTTATGATGGAGACAAAGAAAATTTTTATCTCCAATTATCATTCCTGCCTTCTGTGCAGATGCTGAAAATGTGGTAAGACTCACAGTCACTTCAGTCAGGAAAATAAACTACTAGCAACCAAAGTTTTTCAGCAGAATAAGAAGTGAGTGAGGCTGTGTTTGCTTCTGTCTGAAGAACATGGATGTATGTAGTTCTTGGATGACTGTCTCAATATCTTTTTTCAATAGCATTAAATAAACACTCCTGAGAATGAAAAAACCTATGTTTCATTCCATTGTTCCAACAGGAATCATACAATCACTTGCCCCCTTTCAGAAATCCCCTTTCCTCTCTCAAACTCATTTACAGCCATATTCCCTTGTGGCCACAAACAATTATAGTTTTAACTATCCTGGATCAGTGTCACTAATACTCTTCACAATAAACCAAGCAAAACATTAACAAATCTCTCCAAACTGCTCGCCGCCCCCAGTTAAGCTCTTAGAAATGTAAGAAATACAGAACAGAGATTTCATTCCAGAGTACTTTTAAATCCTTTTTTTTTTTTTATTTTACATAAGCAATTTACCTCAAGTTCTCAGAACAAGACTGTTCCTTATACGTTGAATGGGTAACAACTGAGGTTAAACACATTGCTATGGCTTCTAGCATGGAAGATCTGTGGTTTAGGACATATCTCACAATAAATTCATAACCCCAGGTGTGTGTATATATAGTTTCTTTTTTGGAAGTCCTAAAATTTGCAAAATTTTTTTTGGCTGTATTTAACAATGAAAGATTCATTGTTAAATACAGCCAAAAAAACATTTAGCTCTGCAAACATCTTGGATGCACTGACTCTGAGGGGCCAAGAGGTATAATCAACAGGAAGTCTTTTTTCTGTTTGCTTGCTTCGAAATACTAGGCTGTGTGGGAGAGTGAAACTTTCTACAGTGATTTTTCAAATTGAATCCCTCTTCCAATAACATTTCCTGCAATTTTCCTGAGAATGTGTTTTAAGTCTTGTTTCTTGCCTTCAGATAGTGCACTGCTTGACTGATATTTAATATACACCTTTGGCTTTCATTATTTTTAGCATGCTCTGTAAATGAAACTGCAAAAAAAACACAAAAAATAAGCAGTGGAGAGTAAACAGCATATTGCACATCACAGTGGAATGGATGTAATTTCTCTTAATCTAAACCTGACAAGAAAGAAAACTACTTAATGTAAATAAAAGAATACACATAAAGAGCTGGTGGTTGTAACTATTATTCAGCTACAGTTTTCAACCTGATTCAGGCTACTACTGTCCCAGCCTCTAAGAGTTCCTTTTGTCACAGCACTGAGCTATCTGCAACCCACTAACTTCCTGGACAGAGAAACAGAGCTGGAACTACCAGTATTTTTAAAAATTGGTGAACTGTTAATGCTAACTGCAGACAAAGGAAGATGTACCAAAAGCATCATGCATCAAAAACATGGCCTGATTTATATTATTCATGATCTTTCTAAGGCTAGGCTGAAGACAGCACAGGATGTTAATCCATGCTTCTTAAAAATACCTTTCTTTTGGGGGACAGCTAAAGCTTTAGCATGACACAAGATTGTTGCCCCAGCTCAGTCAGCTACACCAGGCACTACCAGCTCACCACAATGCTGTGAGGCAGGGAGCAATCATGTTGCATGCCATGCTTTACTGCACTTACTCAGCAACCTGGCAACGACAACAAAAATACTCAAATTAATAGCAGCTGTATGATTATTCACCAAGCAAATCAATGTAATGGAAGCAATGCTGACTTTCCAATCAGCTGGAAAACTGTCCTTCTCAATGAGTTTTTTACCAAATACAAAACCAGCAAGTTTTCTTACTGGCATGAGAAAACTAATAAAGTCTAATGTATCATTGATTTTTGTTGCATTTGTTTCCACAATCAAAAAAAAGTGACATGGTTCAGTTTCTGAAGCCAGCCTTCCTAGTACATTGTAACACCGAGCTTCTACTCACGGGGTGGGGGGGGCAATCCATGGAGCAGGTTGTTTCACTTTTTCAGATAGCATCAATAAACTGACACATGTCAATTGACAGAGTAACTGCACCATCTTCGAGCACATCTGGATTTGTACAAGAGCAATAGAATGCAACCTATACACCCAAGTTTGCTTATACAAATGGGAAAATGGAGCAATACCAAGCTGCCTGGTAGCATGCATAAGATCATTAACACAGCTGCCAAAGCACAGCTGGTGCTTTTTTCTACTTGTTCCTACTCATGTGACCATAGCAGTACAATTATGGGAGTGGGAGGGAAACAGTCTAAATACTCCTTTAAACCTTTCCCAAATTATAGGCAACATAATCCTCAAGATGAGAAACAAAATGAGTCTTGGGTCTCATTTTCACTGGTAATTGTCTCAGCAGTGAGAACTATGAAGCACATATTGTAGGAATGCTTCCATAAGTTATAGCACTGTACCTTCTTGTGAATGCCTCATAAGACACAGAAAAGTGCATCCTACTATAAAGGATAATTTGCTATACTAATATTATTCAGATAGAGCTGAAGTGAATCATTAATCTATATAGGGTTAACTACTGAAGCAGGAAATCTCATTGTGTCCGACTCCCACTTGCGCTTCTATTTAAAAAATAAATCCTTCAGTTAGAAAATGTTCATGTAAATCAGAATATCAGCAGAGAAAAAAAAATGGTACCACACAATTCTGCAGAAGTATTTCCCTTTCATTTTCTCAACAGAAAAATTTATTTGCCCTAATGGAGGCTTCCATCAACAATCTGGTGTAAACTCTGTATCTACTTGTTTACTGTAGTTATGTTGCTGATTATTATTGCAGTTCAGTGTCAGGACTTAAGCAAGGACTAGTTTCCTTACAGGCTGGTATAAATACTGTCACACCTTATGACCTTTACCATGACACAGATTTATTTAGGCAGTTATTTAAAAGTGCTGATAGGGGTAGATACTGCAGACACCCCTTGTCCCAGTGTGAAATCCACCCAGAGGATTTGAGGCTGCCTCAAAACACCCTGAGGTTAAAGGGGGTTATTAGCTACAGGGGCGTCCCCCTCATTAAGAGAAGCTGGGGAAAGTCTATGCAGAATTCATTATGGGATGTGTTAAGGGGATTGAATAAATGGATGAGACTTACAATGGAACCGTTTAGGGAAAGGAATAGAGGAATAGAGGTAGAGAAGGGAGGGATCAAGGTGGATCAAGAAGGAGCAAGTGTAAGATAGAGGGAAAAGGAGAGGAAAGGAACCAGTTGACTACAACTAGCTGGCTGATCAGCATGTTAATCCTGACCTCAATCACTGAAGTCTATCCTATTTTCTCACTAAATCCTGTTTCTAAATATCTTCTTTGGGTGTGCTCGCTCTTTTTAGTGGGTATGTGTGAATAAGATTTAACTTCAAGCTCAGCAAACAGAAGAGATCTAAATACCAGCAACTGGAGTGGGGCTGTAAATCTCCAAGATCTTCAAAAGATTATCCAAGGTTAGCTACCAAAGCACTGGATGCCTTGGTTGCATCCATAGATGCATACGCCCATTAATCCTGATCAGCTGGAGAGGAAGAAGAGGGTGAAGCAGGCTGTGCTGTGCTTGTGTTCATGTGGGTGCTGACAGGGCACTGTGGTCTATTTATGTTTCTCTGTGCAGCCATGTGTGTGTTTCACTCTCTCAGGAGTATGAGCTCTGCCTTGCTACAGTCTGAATGTGAAAACACACATAGGTCTGAACTTCTAATACCACAGGTGACCAAGAATCAGAAATTACAGACAGATTTTCAATGTAAAAGTGCTCCTCAATCATTAACTTCTATCTTGATACTC